ATATCATCATTTTTTTCTCCGCCTCCGCCCTTGTCGAAAGTCAGGTCGCTCCTTGTCAGTTGAAGCCGCACAGCGTCTGGTCCGCGGTTGTTACAGATATCAGAGATAGGGCGCGCCTATATGCGGACATTAGCGATCATTACGAGTTAGCTATTGTCTCATGGTTTCCCCCCCTAGGAGAATCCCCCATATATCGGTGCATACCGATCTGTCCTGTTCGTCAATTGCGGACTGGCCCTTCTATTGTTAGTCTTCTACCACTCCCTCAACAGCGGTATTTGAGTTGTAAAAGTTGGCTACGATGATACTACATCGCATAGACAATGCGAACATTGCTCTCCGATAGATGTAACAGTTTAACATTCACAGTCTTCATTCAGGAAAGCGCAACTCTGAGTCGGCATGGGTATAAGTGCCCGAGGTGATTGCTAACAATACTCTAACACACAATAACAAAGGACATGATTTGCGCCAAGCGCCCAATGGAAAAGTTCCCGATTCAGAAGAAGTAGAAGTATGACAGGACTTCAATAGGAAAGGATATAATAGTCGCTTCAAGTTAGCTGCGACTCTCCCATACACTACTCAGACTTTCCCACCCTTGAGTCGGTAACTCGACTCACCCACCCTTGGCTGCAAACCGGAACATTGAACTACGATGAGTAACCTACAGACCTCAGAAAGTAGCCAAAGTAGTGACGTACAGAGAGAGATCTAACCGAGTAGTTCAATGATACCTGCCCAAACCACCAACCCGGTTAGCTCAGCCAAGGGTGGACATCGCCTTGCATAGACTCAACTATCCAATCCTTCTCCACATTCGAAATAGCCGGCGTGTCCGTCTGGTGCTCTCGTCGTCCGATCACGTCTCCGGCCGTCCCTGCGGCTCCCGACGACTTAGCGGGTTCAGCTCCCTGTGAATCCACCACAGTCGCAGAATAGCCCAGACTATCGGCTATGTAGGCCTCCCGGGCGTACCGATTGATACAATCACTGCGCCATCGACCAAACTTCTTCACTTTGTTCCGCTCGATTCCCGCCCTGAGTAGCCACTGGCACCCGCCGGCTCTCATGCTATGTAGAGAGTAACCTATCCATCCTTGTATCCCGGCTTTTGCTAGGTCCTCCTTCAATAGCCTTCGAAACTCCTTCTGAGTCCACCTGCAGCTCTTACTATTTGTACACAGTAGATGGTCTGGTGCGGCCCCTTGTTGAGTTCTTGACTGGAGTAGGTATGCCGCGGCACGCACGGGACATATCAACCCAACGTCATCCCCCTCCTGGGTACAGATAGCACCTAGCTGCCTCTTCTCGCCACATAACCGCTGGTCAGTCTTCGAGCCTTCGATTATGATAGACACGCTAGTATTCCCTTGTCCGATCGACACATGGCTCACTTTCAGACTCAGGAGCTCGTCTCCGCGCAGAAGAAACCATGACCCCAGGACGTAGCTCGCTGCTCGCTGCTTGGCGAAAAAACCGGAGGCCGATTTGCATAAACTCATCAACACCCCTAGAGTCAATGGCTCGGCCTGCTTGGGTCCTCCAATATAGCGCTCGCAGGCGGTCTTAATCCTCCGCGCATATGCACGCTGACAACTCGATAGTTTATAACCCAATAACTCGTTGAAGGCGATAGCCGTCGACAAATAGTCAGCCGCCGATCTGTAGTTGGCCTCCCGCAACGCTGCTGTTATTCTTTCCATTTTCTTCTCATCTAGAGGAAACGGCTCAAAGCCCATCTTCCCGCTCATCTCCTCCCACAACTTTAGTCTAGATCGGTATGTGGCCTTAGTACTCTCGGCTAGCATTGCTTTGCGCATAGTAGAAACGGCCCGCTCTAGCTCACTCACGTTAGCCGGCTCCGAAAGGTAGTGGGCTCGCTTCCACGAACCTCGCTTGCGCATCTGGGATGGGAAGAGCATGAGGAGATAGGAGAAGCAACCCTACTGAGGGACTAAGACATGAGCCACCGCAGGAGTAAACGCCGTAACTGACCTGCTCACGCCCAAACGGCCCCGACAGGCCCACATCAGTGGAGGCGATCCTGCTCGCACTGTGGTCAACGCGCCGTAGCACAGAGTGCTACACTAGGCGAAGCCTTGGCAACCCGCCGATCGGCTGTGTCACTCAACAGCGTTGACCCATCCGAGGGAGGGCCACCCGCCACTCCCGTTAGGTAACACTCGTTTCACGCAAGGCCACCCGCCTTGAAATGAAGGAAAAAAAGTTATTCACGCTCATCCCGAGCATCCAATGATGGCTGCTGACTACAACCCGTAGTACACCGCAGCGACTAGACGTCTAACCATCGAACTCCGATGAGACGAACAACCAAGAGAGGGGGCAAAAAACAAGGAAGAAAGAGAATAGAGGACGACACAAGGAGTGGAAGTACAGCGCTCCGTGCAGGTAGACCATCCAATGGATGGCATCCCTATGCCCGAAACACGAAGACTAAGACACCCGCTCTACACAGGGGTGGACATCCAACTTCCAGAACCTTGCATCACGAGGAGGACATACACTCTCGATCACCGAGCTCAGCTCAGCAGGACGAGGAAAGGAATAGCCGGGCTTGGGAAGACGGCTCAGGTAATCCGCCAGTCCATTCTTGTCACCCGAAATATGTGAGTATGACATCTCCAGAACTCTCATATCGCACGCACACTCTCAGGCAAGTTCCGCCATTACCATGTTCATATTAGGGGACCTTGACCGTAACTTCAGCGCTGCACCGATCGCTGAGCGGGAGTCACTGCGGCACCGAAAGTAGGCGGCCGGTGGTAACCATCTTCGCCATAGCCTGACGGCCACCAGTAAGGCCAGAGCCTCCCACAGACTCTGGAATCTATGGTCGCCGACCTTGGCCTGGAATCTCGTTGTTTCTAGCTCTGAGATACTATCCGAGAAGAAGGCGATGATCCGGTCAAGTCCAAAGCGGTCGCTGAGAGATAAATAGCCACCTAGACCCCACGGCGACGCATCGACGGTGATAACCATGGATACACATCGGCGCTTAGGGACAAATTCCCTCCCGAATAGACGAGAAGGATTCGACCCGGCAGCTGTTGTGGCCGAGGTCAACATAGTATTGAACCAGAGCAACGAACGGCGAATACCGGCAATGAGGATCCACTGTGAGCCTTCCTCGCTTTTCCCGGGGAAAAGCGAGGAGGAAAATTTCCCCCCTAGGGCCTTCCACATGGGTGCCAAGAGGGCATGAACCCATGGGATTACCCCACCGGACCAGCATAGCTTTCCACACAGTCTACGGAGCAGCTTTGAACTGACCGCTCTCCTGAATCCCAGAATTTGAGAAGTAAGCTTCGCCATAGCCTCCAGCTTCTCCAAAGGAATAGATACGCGGAGACTCCCGTTCGCCACGGCAAACTGAAATCCAATCCAAGTCACGGCGGAGCCACGCTGAAATTTGTGGAAGCTGAAAGGGAATCCTATAGCCATCCATAGCAGAATCGGGAGAGCGATGAGCCTCGTTCTGATCCGAGATGACCGACCACGAACCGTAATATGGGGATCGTCCACGAAGCAGCTAATCCTGCCCTCGGAAGGGGTATAGAGGAGCTGTGCCCATCTACATGCACAGCTCGAGATTCTCGAGCCGAGAAACGGCACCATACCAGGGGACTACTTCGGACACCGAACATGAGCACATGAAAGAGGATCCAACGCCCCTGGAAGTAGCATACTTGAAATCGCTGCTCCATACTCTGGACTGGGATGAGCTTGAAGGCGTTCTGAAAGTCAGCGGCCAAGAACTCGATTTCGGACCAACAATCGCTGGCTCCTCTTGCTGGTTCCATGAGCTCGTGGATATTCTGCACAACGTCGGAGACTCTAGGGAGAACAATCTTTTCACGACAGTGGACCACCTCATTCAGGCTGTTGGCCTTGGCATCACAGATCAATCGATATTTGGGGGGGTCTGTGTTAGGTTTTGTTGCTAGCGCAATCTTAGTGACTATCACATCCCTGCTGCCAACAGCCACGGCTAGGTCGTCGAAGGAGTCGTAGAACGTGCAGAAGCCTGCCTTCCTCTCCTCGTCTAGTAGGGCCCAGGTGTTGGTTGGATCGGACTCAGCCGAAGAGTAATTGACGTAGGCTCCGTCGGCAGACCCAATAAACCATCCTAGCCATTCTCTTGATTCGTCACCAGTAGCCGTCACCGGCAGATCCGTCGTCGCCACGGTTGACGTCGAAAACCAGCCACCAGGCCGTATCTCGGCCGAGACACCAATAGGAGCGCCTTCGATTAGCCACCCGCTGAGGGATGTATCCCAATCGCCCGACATATCGGTTAGGGCTTTCCACAGCCCAGGCCTCAGCGGGGTATTAGGGTTCACAATGTCTTTAGCAGAGACAGATCCGCCACCTAGTCGAATGATTGCATCGCGAGCCTCCTCAACCATGCTCTCAGGGAACTCACAAAATATGCCCCCCTTCCCCAGAGCCTTCTCGACTGTATCGATATTACGATCAAGATCGACTCGAACTCCTTGCGCAGCTGCTGCATCCGAATGCGTCCCTCTGGCCGGTACTTAGTGGCATCATACGCCCGACGAAGGCCGCTGGCCGTCTCGAGAATTGTGGTGAACTCATTGTTACTAGTCAGCGCCGGCAGATGGAATTTGTTTGCCGCTGGAGCGTCATCCGTACAATGAAATAGAAAACCACTCTCGATAGCCGTAGACCTTGGTAGTGCAGTAGACGCAGACAGAACAGGGCTGGCAGTCGAGTTTCAGGCTCTTCTCGGAGGTGCTGGAGAAGGCGAATCCTTTTGTGCCCGAACTTCTGATTTTGGCCTTACCACTGCTTTCGAAGCATTAATCCTGGGGCAGCGGTTGCGTCCCCGTGGGAGGTCATGTTGAGACCGACAGCCTTGACATAGATGGAGGCGACCGTCTTTGCACTTATCGTCAGAATGTCTCCCATCTTGATATGCGAAGCAGAATTGCTGGCTTACGTCCTTTGATGGCCTTTGTCTCGGAGTAGAGCTCCCATCCAATCTCTTCGAGGGGCCGCCCGGACTCGCAAAATGTAACCGCATTACTGCATGATCGACGTGAAGTCTCCAGAAGGCGGAGTCGTCGGCCGCCTTGACGAAGCATGCACCCCAGGAGATGCCCTTGTTCTTCTCCTTATACACCGCAATGTGAGAGCTGCGCATAAGCTCGTCCGCATGGTAGATCACACTCCAGTGATCCTTGAAGGTGTCAGCGAGGCTCTCTATCACAAACTTATAGCGCTCAAAGTCAGCGAAGCTCCCCTGGTCCAAAATAACCATAGCATGTCTAAAGATAACAAAGCTCTCCCGCCATTGAGAGAGGGAGGGTGTCTTAATTGACGGCACCTTCGTCAGAAAACCGTCATCGATCGTCCAGCGACGGACCTTCTCTTCACGCAGTCTCTTCCTCTGACCTGGGGTCCATATGCAGAAGTCAGTATATGGCGTATCGCCCTCCGCGAGACGAGATTGAAGAGCTGAGAGCTGTTCTCTCGTAGGGGTCTGGTCAACCGGAACTTCGCCATACAGCTCCTTGAATCGGGTGAGCCGTCCGCTGAAATCCTGCACTGGTAGGAGGGTGAATGTTCCGTCATCAATACTGTCAACGTGGGAGCTCAACTTCAGACGCTTGACCCCTTGCCCGGTTGTGCTTGAGCAATGTGCACCCTGGTCAGCATTCGAGCTTGTGGAGCCTACCGCCGGGCTGGTGGTTTTCATGGCTAGAGCCAGACCGCACTGCTCGCGACAAAGATCATACAGCAAACCGATTCGACCTTTTTGGACGGCGTCGCCAATGGTATCCATTGTTTTCACAACATCTTTCGCACTCACGATTCGTGAGTGCCTTCGTGAGTCACGAAGGCCAAGTCGGACACAAATTTTATAGAGTCTCTCTTGCCGCCGAGCTTCACGCAGACCTCTCCCCAGATGTCGTCGTTCACCTCCGTTTTCAACCGCAGCTCATCTATCCCTATTCTGGATACCTCTAGATGAGATAACAGGGAGGGCGGGGAACTCGGGGCCGACATAGATATTAAAAAAAGTGGGGATTGTACCCAGAGAACGACTGCATGACACTGTCAGTATCACTGCCCAGTAATCGTAGGAGCTGAATTACCACCAAATTGTCATCTTGGCATCTTGACCTAACTCACACACCGTCGAGTCTCTTGTCACTTGAACTCTTAAGCATGTTCCCATGCTTCTCCAAGTAGCTCGGTGTTGTACTCACGCGAGTTTTCTGCAAATCCTCCATTATTCTTCGAGTCTCTTCTTCGGCTCTGGATACGTCCGAAATATGCCTAACGTTTTCATCAGCGAGCTCCGACATTCTTCGCTAAGACAGGGAGTTATCATCAAAAACATTGAACACCTCGATGTGATATCACTTTGGTTTCCTCCAACTGGCATTGAAGTGATCGTGTTCGTTCCTTGGAAGCTTTCTGCACTCGCTGAAAAAATTGGTCTTGAATTGTGCCTGCTCGACGAGGATATGGCTCCCTATGTAATCCTCGCGGATCAAGGTCGCGCTATGCTTTTGGGTAAGGTCAAGCTCGGTTCTACTATCTTCAGGGTTCTGCGGTCTGAGGCCTGTCATGCAATCTTAGGGGTCGTCTCTATGTGTGAGATGGGCATTACATTGTTTTTCAAGACCGACGGGGTACGGGGACGGCTCGTGAAAGTATCGATAAACAAGCCTGACGGCCATCAGATCCAACTGACGGCGGCGAGCGCAGGTGATCCCGATCGTCTTCAATATGAGCTCTCGGGAATAGAGGACTGTGATAACTCGCACCTCGGCAACAACCACATTTTCCAGATATGGAGTCCTCCCACTGAACTTGAGCACATTGGTCACGCGACGGATCTCACCAAGCAATTACAGACGGATTGTGCGCCGGTGAAAGGAGCCTCAGCTGATTTCCAGTGGCGGTGCCGTCGCATCTCCCACTCGGAAGTCCGTGATCGTCCAGAGCAAGAATTTGTCTACGAGATCAATTGGAGCAATCCCGCTCCGGGGGTTGACCGTGACCGCTCCGCAGCGGAGCCTCCGCTGACTTCAGTCATGCCTTGTACAGCAAGCTGAGTGATTCTCAAAAACGCTATTTCGATGACGAGGTAAAATCTTATGTTGAGCGATCCTGGTGGCTACCCGAGAAGGACTGCCCAACGTCTAACCCTATGGTGGTTTTTCCGGTATCGGCGATACCGTATCGTAGATATCCAAGGATGGGTATGCGAAAACTACAAAATGCCGCCCTGTAGTGGACTGCCGAGGTGTCAATAAGCATTTGGGGGTGGCGGGCTATCCTGGTGCCACCGTTGCTGAGATTCCTGAGAGATACCAGGCTCAGATGGGAGCCCTATAGCCGACTTATTACAAGAGACGCAAGTCGCGCGTTCTACTGTGTTCGAACAGTGCATAAGAACTACCACACGCTTAATGGAAGGGCATACTCAAGCTCTAGGCTTGTCTTCGGCCTAAAGTGGCCGAAATGGCCTCGCGCCTTGCTCTCTTGTCTGGACCATATGCTAGCGGTGTCTGCCAGTTTGCTGGACAAAGCTGATGCTGAGGCTCTCTCTAAAAGTGGTGTGTACCTTTATCTCGACGACCTCACCATACTAGTGTCATGTGGGACCAGTCCAGTTGCGAACCGATTCCTCACCGCACTAAATAAAGTGGCCAGGTCAACTGGTTTCTCCTTTCCGGACGAGAAGGGGAACGACAACCTCAAGGACCACCAGTTTCGTCATCTCGGTATTACTGGTCGTTTGAGGGAGGTTGCCTCAGCTTCTCCGGTGTTAAGCACCCAGTCCCGCACCGGACTACCTCAGGAGATCCTTTTCCTTCCACCTGGACCTGTCGTTAACTCTTCGCAGTTGCTGGTCAGGCTGGTTGGGGCTCAGACCCGCCGGGAGTTCATCCCAGGGTGCGTCTCTGTGGAGATCTACTGCGCACAGTCGGTGGACAGCAGCTCCGTCAACACGGTTGGGATGGACGGTTCACTTTGGAGAAGGGTAGCTGGGATTATAACGTACTCCACCGTTGTATCCAGGAGATTGTTGAGCACGTATCGCACCGTTGCTCTCATACAACAGGATCCTCACCATGCAGGGAATTACTCGTATGGTCCGATGCTAGTCCTTCTGGAGCCGGTTACTGCTGCTTTGCCGGACCAAAGGGTGGAGTGAAAGAATGGTATTTGGGAGGTAACGCCTTTATATGGTCTGATCCCTCTCGCTCGTACCACATAAATCGCAAGGAGCTCATAGCTCTAGGTAAAGCGGTGACCTACGTGCACTCTCTGGTGGTGGAGTGTCCTTCGCTCATCCTGTCGCAGGGTACTGGTAGCTCTACTCTGCCTCTAAGGAGGGTAGTTTTCCATAGCGACCCTCAAACTGCTCTTTCGTGGGCGGAGTTGGGCCATGCGGGGTGCTCAAGCACTGAGAAGGTGATGGTTAAGAGACTGGCCAACAATCTCAGAGAGTTGATCGACGAGATCCGCACCTACGGTGTTGAGGTCGCCATGAAGAAGGTCACCGGCGAAGCTAACGCAGAGGCCGACAAGCTGAGTAGGCTACTGGAGGATATGGGGCTTCATGACCAGACTGGGAACGTGGAAGTTGAGGATCCTTCTAGTCAACGACTGTCCGTAGTCGTGAGTCCCAACGATGGAGGCCTGGGCTTACCGGGGGATGAGGCTCGTCGGCGTTTTGCAAGCATTCAGCAATCTTCTGAAAAGATGAAGGACATCATCCACAAGCTTTCCGAGGCCGATTACCCGGATGGTATACTGGTGGATGGCAAAACAGAGTATCTAAAAGTGGACAATGGCCTCCTCGTCGCCATAAAGTTCCCTCATGGTGATACTGGCAGTATCATACTGCTGAGCCTGCTCGCCAAGTTATCGTTATTCCTACCGATTCCGAACTCGGTTTCTCGGAGGCCAAACGGATCATAACTAGTTATCACGTGTCTGGTATCCACGGTCACTGCCGGCGGACAAGATGGCGAGTTGGCAGGGACTTCTGGATCCCATGGATCACCGCCATTGCTGCTAAGATTGTTCGGGAGTGTCCCGACTGCCGGGCTGCTGCGACATCGAGGTTCTTTGGACTGTCCGGCGGGGGCTATAACCACTTGGATGCTGGTGTTCGAAACATCTGGAGCGTCGTGAGCTGTGACCTGGCTGGCCCATTCGTTAAGTCGAAGCGGAACCATACTTATGCTCTGGTGTTCATATGTGAGTTCTCGAAGTTTACGTACATGCTCGGAATCCCAGACTCCTCAGGGAGATCGGTCTCTCATGGCATGGAGACAGTGTTCGACATTCTCGGGGACTCCTGAGAGGCTACGCAGTGATGGCGGACCATGCTTCAGGAGTCGGTTCCTGGGCAACTTTCTTTCTCGTCGAGTGGTGAAGCAGCAGGTCTGTCTGCCCTATGCTCCTTGGCAGAATGGTGGTGCCGAAGCTGCGGTCGGTTCTCTAAAGCGCACCCTTTGCCGCTACCGCGATGTCTACAATGCTAATGGCAGATGGGAGGAGCTCTTGGCTAAGGCTATGCGTCGTGCCAATGCCAAGCCGGGTCTGACTGGGAAGAGTAGCTTTCAGATCTTCTTCGGCAGGGCTCGCCGTGGGGAGGAGGAATTAAGACTCGCTCCTGGAGGCCCGACTTAGCCCGCCTACTTGCCCACCCCAGCTGATTTTCCAGAGGTTATCGACGGCATCAACAAGGAGAGAGAGGAGCTGAAAGAAGACGTCATCCAGGCGAAGGAGGATCGGTCCCCGGTGACGACATTGAGACCGAGGCGGAAAGCTCAGATGCCTAAGATCGGTGACCGTGTGCTGGTGTTCCGTCCGGACCTACTCTCAGGTGCTGGACATGGGAAGGGGAGATATAGCACTGATTGATATGGAGTCGTTGAGGTTGATCATCGATCCCTAAAAGTTAAGGTGCGCAAGAAGGATACTGCTGATAGCACCTCTTGGGGAAGCTTGCGCAATGTGCGTCCTTTTTATGGTTAATTTCGTGCTCAAGTTTATCTTGTAGTCCTTGAGCAGGGGGTGGAATGATTAGACAGAGCTCCATTCAATGGAGTCCATTGCTGCTGTAATGTTTCCTTATTTTATGTCATTCGTCCGATAACTTTTATGTTGTGCGCGCATCGCACGTTACTATGTGTATGCGTGCACAGTTGCGCTGCGTACAATCTGTTCATTGAGTTGGTTAAATCGTCCTTTTCCTACTTAATGTCTGCTCACGAGTCGAGTCATCAGCAGGGTTGTCCAAATCGGGAAAGAATTGGGTCAAATTCTTTCCTCGAAATTTCCGTTGAAATTTCCTGAAATTTCCGGAAATTTGGCACAATATGAATCGTTTCGCTCCGCGCTGCGCGCGGTATTCCATAGGCCCATTAGCAGCGCGATAGTGGCGCCCCTGGGTAGGCAACCCGTAGGTTGAGCATGGCGTTTACGGTTCTATAAACCACTGCACTAAGAATCGACGCCCGCTGCATCGAAATCCTCCACAATCAGCTGGCAGTGGCTTCGTTATGTCTATATATGAGCAATGAGAGCGTGTCCAGCGTCTAGATAGAGTGGGTGTAACTCTTGATTTTTTCCTGCGAGAGTCACTTAGTGAGTCATCACCCAGTACTGACTCTCGTACAAAACGGTGATACCATAACCAGGAATCGTCCAAGATGGCCTAGTAGAGATGTATGCGGATACGTCATTCAGAGCTTAAGACCCATGGACCACAGGTCACGCGCCCATACCGGTCAATGCACGCATACCCATAGGCTCTGGGTATGCGTGCATTCATGCGTGCCACCACATTGGTGGAAAAAAGAAATGAGGAGAAACCATAGAATTCGAAAAACTTAGAGAACCACAGAACTGGGAAGCTCGGAAAATTTCCGACGAAAACACGTTCGTTGGCAGTTTTAAACTGCCGCAGTTTGCACCGCGACAGTGTAATATCCTGGCAAAAAAAGAGCAAATCAACAACTTTCCGACACTCCCAGAGCGAGCGGTCGACTGCCGGTGGCAGTCTGCCACACCATCACACGTTAATCAGCAACTTTAAGGATAAAGGTGGGAAGGACGTCCCGAAATCACCCACACTTGCGTGAAACGCCCTTTTTCAATACTAGTGGGCCACTAGCAGTGGCTCCCTAGTGTCACTTCTTCCTGTAGCAATATTCATCGGTACCTCACGAGTTGTCTTGCGTCGTTCTTTGCAATGCGCATAAACATTCGAGGAGTGGGCCGTTTGTGGCTTCCGTACGTTCCCTCTCCGGACTCGCGCGTGGATTAGCGAAGAATGGAAAACTGGCGGAGCCGCGGATCGAACCCACGACCTCGCCCGAAAATTCCGGAAATTTCAACCACTTCTATTTTTCCCGAAATTTCGGGAAATTTCCGCTTGAAAGAATTTTTTCTTTCCAGCCCGAACAACCCTGGTCATCAGTCACAGGAGGGAGACGGATCCCAATCACTTGTACTTGCAATTATCGACATAGCAGCACTGCTTGCGAGCTGTCCAGGCCAAGCATATCCCTTGCTCTCGACAGAGTCGGAGAGTCTTCAATCCTAGGCAGCTTGGGATTAGGGGCCTCCGTAGGGAAAGCAGTTGATACCGGAGGGGCCTTGTTTGGATGTGCATTGTTGATGGAGAGCCTAGGATTGCAACGGATATGGCTACGTAGGGCTTGCGTACGCTGGTGGACATCATCAATGGCCGCGTACTACGCGGCGCATAGTTCTCGTCTGCAGTCTTCCTCAGAGTGGGATGGAGGCCTTCACGAATCGTGAATCACGATAGTGTAGGTTGACTTGACTGGGTTGCAGATGGAGGCCAACACTCGAACACATAGCAACAGCAGATTCGATACGGTCGAAGTTATCGTACATATTGTTGTCGCTATTGTCCATCTTGACATCAGAGAAGTCTCTCATGACTTCCGCACGTGAAGAACTTATGTTGAAGGTAGCCAAGTGCTTGTGATAGTGTTAGAACATAGTCGCTCAAGTAGAGGATGGGATCCATAGTAGTTTCCAGGTGGATCTGTATGTTCCTCTTGATCGACTGGCTAAGACAGTTGGATAGATAGATATGAGATAGTCGAGGGCCCAGCGCTTTTTGTTTCGCTTCACAGCGGATAAGACTCAGAAAGTAGTTGATACTCCTGTTATCAGAGTTTCCCTTGTATTCTTTGTTGTCGGGGCACTTGATATGGGAAACAGCATTGATGAGCTTTGTTGTATCAAGCGCCTTCTCCTTGTCATAGTTGTGGGATATATCACACAATACCGAGAACTTCAAGGAGCTCAGCCAGCGGGCTCCACCATGCTAGTAGTAACACCTGCACTGGTTGACTCAACAACACTTGGGATAGCCATAATAGGCGATAAGGCTTCTTATCTTATCCATTTCAGCCTGAGGGCTGCGAGCCGTTTCATGCAACGAATAATGGGCGAGCGAGATTCGTGCATACGCGTGCGAACACAACCATGCTGTTAGATCAAGTACGTGTCTATGGGTATCTGCAACAGATAGCACGTGGGACAACCAAATTGGTTTCGTGTTAGTGGTCCTCGACGAGGACTCCTCGTGGGTTGACAGTGTCATCATGACTCTCTCTCTAAACGCCCACCAATTCGAAGCGTTTCCCCGTATGGGACGCGAGTTGCTCCATGGCGTAGAGGCTGGAGGCATGAGCGCGGCGGTCGCACATTTCCAGCTCTTTCGGTTCCATCAGAATATGATCTCACTAGCGATTTGTAAGCATCTTCTGATGAGCAGCTCGTAACCTAGCCGCTAGATGACGAGTTTCTCACCAGAGGCGTCTCTCTTGAGCAAGAAAATGCTACAGAGCGGACATTCCATTCTGGCAGAGAGTTTCATTTTCGTTGAAGGCAGTTAATCGACCCTGCATCGCGTGAGCCACACACCCGTAACGACGGTGCTGTCATCGGGCGAGATTGTTGCCTTTCCGACGGCAGTCTTCGATAGTTGGATCCTCACTATCTACAATCCCCTCCACTTATGGGAGTAAACACACCGTCTTGGGTCTTACGGGTTGCTCATCATCATCATGCTCAGACTCAACCCCACCTTCGTAGCAGGCGAATATCTCTACTTCATTCTCGCTGCCGCGACATTCTACCACGCTTACACTCATCGAAGTGAATAACAGGGCGGTCGGCTTGGAACGCTACAACCGTCAGACTTAGGCTGAGCCACGTAGACCCTCGTGTTTGCTCAGTTACTGGCAACAGTCTAGGCCTGTGGTTCGGCTGCCTATTGAGCGGGGCCGTAGTGGAGTTCTTCACCATATTGTCACCGGAAGTGCGTCACACTCACTGAAGGATCTATCGGCACACTCACCTGTGTTAGTCTTCAGATCGGCAATTTCTACCATACTCAAGCATCAGTAATGGTGGTAGGAAAAGTGGAGCCCCTGTAGCGATGAGAGGCCCCTCTCGAGCCTCTGCTATTGTTCCTTTCACAGTTACATGATCCTTGGATGTTACGCAGGAATCCAATATCTGGCGGTTCAGTTGGCATTCACATTCGGGGCGGACGCAAAACAGAATCTCTTACGGAAACTCGGGCTGGCTCTCTTCTCGGGTGGGTCTTATAAAGAGCTCATTCCCTCCTTCATTAAGCCACACAGGTCTCACTGGGAGATACCTGTGGTCCTTGCTCGATATCGTTGGTGCTCACTTGCTTTGGTGGACTTGGCATGAGAGTGATGAACTCTACAGCGCTAAGATTTGTGGGGTAATTAGCTACGACGTTACTCATTTCATTCAGTGATACTTCGCAGGTTCCTATAGCCAGCAGCTTTTGGATACTTTCTGAGACGGCGTGCATTGGCCTTGTCTATGCTCTAACACGGACTCGATCTACGCTTCTGATTTCCACCCTCATGTTCTTGTTGGTTCCCGTCCTTTTCAACATCCCTTTTGCGGTGCTATATCATCCCATTGAACAATATGGTCGACCTGATGTAGCATTGTATCTGATGGAAGCCATAGGAGTTATCGCGGCGCTCGGGCTTCTCGCTGGTCATCACTCGACCAAATGTTCTCGACACTTGTTCGGCATCGCTGTGGCCTTCGTTCTGATTCATCTCGTCATTTTGCTGGTCGATCGAAGCGAAATGCCTCATAAGCTGAGATATTCCTACGGCCAGCCGTTCGTTTACCGGGACTGCCAGGGTGAACAAGAGACTGTCTTCTGGGGTATGATGACGAGAGATCGTTTCCTTTGTCCTGCTAAGATGAGCGCGGAAAAGCTTTACACGCTCAACTGCCTCGCCGAGATGCCAGTTGAGGGGAAATGGTATTGGTTGTGCGGTGTAGGGATGACTTTCGAAGTTTTCATTCGAATTATCGTTGAGTTTCTGAAGTCCTTGGCCTTGTTGTTGTTGATTTATGTCGCTAAAGGCAACGAGAAGCGAAAAGCTGACTGAGTCGACGGACATTTTCCTTTTTCGAACTTTCTGATTAACATGTCTGATTTCGAATCAGTGATTTGCGTTAGGGTACCGTCAATCATACTCAGCTTGCTTACATTGCAAGTCCCATTCATCGACAAGAGTGACCTCAGAAGGTATTGTACAGTGGTTTAGAGCACGAAGGTCCGAAAGATGGCACGAAACTGACTGTAATGGTGTCAGCCACCAATTCAAAAACCTCCCCGCGGTCGAAAACCCTCGATGGGATATGTAGTTGACGCAGTATGTGGAGAACTTTCTACGATATTACTACAGCGGTATCTCTGTTTAACATGTGAAATTAGCTCACCCTTATCATGCGGACGTTTCTATCGAAAACTCTCTGGAACGCTAAGTGATAGCACACTCACTTATCGACTAACATTGGCCGATAATGAACGAGATCCACAAGGCTAGATAGGGCTGCCCAATCTGTGGACTACCCGGAATCGGAGT